TATTTCCAAAGTATTTCTCTCCCGCGGTAAGGCACGGCGTTCTTTTCCTGGAACCACAAACGTGCGAGCTAGGACCTAAGCGTGCTCCCCCCCCCCCCTTTCCCCTCCGAGGTCCCCGCCGTGAACCGTTGCAATCTAGTCGCGTGCGCGAGCCCCGCACGCGGAGCGAGGAATCACTAATCGGCGAGTTGAGTCGGGCCGTAGGAAAGTGACTTGCAGACGGCGTAATCTGTGAATACACGAGCGTCTCTCCCCGCCTCCGCTGCAGCCTTGTTCGGGATGAATGTCAGCCTTTCTGACAGCCCGGTCTGACACGTGCAGGCCGGGACCACCGCGTTAAAACGTCGATAAATGTTTATGCCTGTGCCAGCCCGGCGGAGGGGCGAGGGTGTGTGTGTGTTGGAAAGCCCATGTGCATCGACGGGAGCCGTGTGCAACTGTGGTGCGCTGCGCATTACAGTGGATGTAGTGGAGGTACACCGCCGTAACAAAGTCGGAGAGTCGCTCTGGCGTCGGGTCGGACAATCATCGCTCACAATAGTTGTGAGTTTGGCGCCTGCGCTCGACGGTGAAGAGCACGCGCCCGACCCGACAGTGTACGACGACGACGACGTGCAGGGCAGGGACTCGGGGCAGGATGTGCTGCAGGGCGCGGCTAAACGGGGCGCGGCAAGTGCCGCAGCCGAGGAGCTGCATGGCTGGTAAACGTGGAAAAGAAAAAGTTTTTCCAATATGATGACTTCCTCTTCTTGCGGCGGGGGGCTGCGGGGAGCGGCGGGCCGCGCGTCTGTCACCGGCGGCATTACTCATTCGCTGCCTGTCTAGGTGGTTGACTATTCTCGTCGCGCCCCGCCCGCCCCGCCACCGCGTCCTGTCCCGGTCCGCCTCGCGGCAGGGCCCACGGGGGTCGCTGAGAGTCGCACACCACAACATTTCGTGATATTTGTATGGGGCTGAGTACTTTTCCCGCGGTCTTCCTCGGGTGTTTTCGGAAGACCCGGGCACCCCTAAAATTCCAACAAAGGTCCGATGTAAAAGTACGCTACGCCACTCCCAAGAAAATGATTCTTAATTTGAATCTGGTTCCTGGCGGCTTGGCGTTGGGTTGCCCCCCCCTCCCTCTTTTTCCGCCGCCCCCGAGACCCACGGCGACTACTCTGTAGGTCGCTTTTCCGGCGGACGGTAGCTGCGCGGCCTCCTGCGGGTGGGCGGCCGCCGAGGTCGCGGCCCGGTGCGTCCTGGCCGCCGCCAAGAAGGACTTTCCGGGCTCGCTTGTATTACTGAGCAGGCCCCCCGTGCACTGCTCTCCACACCCTCCGCCCCGTACGGACGGACTCGGTATTTGTTGTTCTTCGAACCGCCCGCCCCGATCGACTCGGGGCAGCTGCCTGTCTGCCGTTCTGGACCATTTCAGCGGGCGTGCGGTGCGGGGCCGGCCGGGGCGAGGGCCGGGCTGTTCATATACACCGCTGCCTTGACCGCTCGGTGCGCTGCTGCTGCTGCTGCCCCCGCCGCTTATAGCACGCGCGTCGCCCATAAACATGGTAAAACACTGCACAGCCAGGCAGGCCCATAGGGCGGGCCCGCCTGATGTGGTTCACGTGGCCAGCACGCGTCTAAACGCTCCGACAAGCCCCTGCCCTTTCAATAGTGTGTGTGCGTGCGTGTGTGAGTGCGCGCGCGCTTGTGTGTGTGCGTGTGTGTGTGTGTGTGCACGTCAGCTCCGCGTCTAGTGCAGCCGCGAGGGCCGCGAGTGTTTGTAATCTTCCCCCGTCTGGCCGGGCAGGCGCGGGCGCGAGTATGAGCAGACCCCACGCCAAGTATGAGCGCTGCTGACGGTCATGTCCTTCACTTTACAGTGCCCGGGGAGCACCTGGAGGTGGAGGTGGACGCGGGCGAGAGGCTGCGGCTTCGCTGCCCCGACGACGTGACCTGGTGGCGCAACGGACAGCCGCTGGCCAACTCGACGAGGGTGCGAGTCGGCAAGCAGTGGTGAGTTGCAGGCGTTGTTTTGATTTGTATGCCCAAATCGCCGTTCTATGTGTCAATGATGACTGTCCGACTGTGTCCAGGATGAAGTGGCGCGCGGTGAAACGGAAGGACGCGGCCGAGTACAGCTGCCTGCCGCGGGGCGCGCGGGGCGCCGCCGGCGAGTGGGCCAACGCCACCCTCATCGTGCTGGGCGCCTCGCAGCGCGAGCGGCTCGCCGCGCCCTCGGCCCTGTCCGCGCACCGCGACGACCTGCTGCAGGACGTGCACGACATGCCCCAGGCCGACGGCCACGAGCCCGAGGACGAGCAGGAGCTGAACGCCGTGCCGACGGCGCCCGCCGCCGCGCCCGTGGCCGCCCCGCAGCACGAGAAGAGCCCCGCGCGCACCATGGCGCGCCGGGAGGGCGAGAAGGCGCTCCTGGCCTGCCCCGTGGCGGGACCCTCCACGTCGACGCCCTTCTGGATCAAAGACGGCGAACCTTTCCCGCTGACGGGCAGGGCCTCGGCGCTTGGCACGGCCCTCAGCATCCTGGCGCTGCGCGTCGAGGACTCTGGCAACTACACCTGCACTGTGGCCAACCGCAGGGGGTCGGACGCGTCCTCGGTGCTGCTCCGCGTGTTCAGTAAGTATCTGACCTGGTAGCCCTCGCCAGCCCCGCCGCCGACGACGACACTAACCCCTGACGTCTCCCCCCAGGTCGCGCGGAGGACATCCCGCTGGTGCTGCAGGCGCCGCACAACGCGTCGGAGCCTGTGGGCGGCACGGCCTCCTTCGTGTGCGAGCCGTCGCCCGACGCTCCTGAGACGGCCCGCGTGCGCTGGGTGCACCTGCCCCCCGGCGAGGACGTGGGCGCCGCGCTCGACGACGCCGTGATGCGCGCGCGCGAGGTGGTGGCGCGCGGCGGCTCCCCGGGCGCCTTCCCCCGCCTGCTGGTGCTCGAGGACCTGACGCCGGAGGACGAGGGCTGGTACGTGTGCGTGGTGCACAACGGCGTGGGCAAGGGCCGCGCCTCGGCCAGCGCCTGGCTGCGCGTGCTGCCGCGCGAGGAGGACCACGGCGACCTCGGGCTGCAGTGCCGCGGCAACGCCACCCAGGGCCAGGCCAGCGACAAGCTGCCGTTCAGCGCGCCCAGGTTCACCAAGCCCGACGCCATGGCAGCCTACGACGCCAAGCCGGCTGGCAACATGGTGCGCCTCAAGTGCCCTGCCTTTGGTGAGTTCTTGCCCCCGCGAGCAGTCTGTGCCGGTGTCTCTGTCGGCGGGACAGCCGTGCTCAGCGACCCCTTCCTTTCTCGGCCGCAGGCAACCCGTGCCCCAACGTGACGTGGACCAAGGACGGCGCGCCCATCCAGCGCTACTGGGGCGCCCCCCGCTATGGCGACTGGTCCATCGTGATGGAGGAGCTGGTGACGCAGGACACGGGCAACTACACCTGCAACGTGTGCAACAGCCTGGGCTGTGTTGACTTCACCACCAAAGTGGACGTGATCGGTGAGTCTCAGTCTAGGCTAGCGCTAAACTCAACCCTTTAACTTGCAGCTCGGTCGGCGACCCGCGGGAAGAATTGACTGTCGCATCCTAACCGATTGCCTTGTTTTTGTCTGTAGAGAGTAGTTTGATACTAACACTATGCGAAAGTGCCGATGACTTAAACACTTTCAGTCCAGAGACGTGCCTCCGGGCCGAGCTCTGCATCCCCTGTGGCCGTAGAGCAGAAAACCCTCCCCCTCCCTTTTCCTCGTCCTTTACCATTCACTCGATGCTCGCATGCCGGCGGGGAATACCACT